TGATGGGAAGCCTAGGGGCCAGGGAGTTGAAGATAATGGTGATGGAATAATTTGGAAAAGGATAGTGAGAATAGCAGCACAACTGGAAGAATGTAATCGATGTCACTGAATTGTACATGTAGAAGCTTTTGAAATGGTGTAACTTTGGCTATGTATATTTTCACCAAAAAAAAGGTTCTCCAAGGTTGAGAAGGGAGAGTGTTGACATGTCTTGGGGTTGTTAACCAATGTCATAAAACAGTATGCGTACTGCCTGTTTAATGAGAAACTATTTATGCTGTAAACCTTCATCTAAAGTACAATAAAAATAAATAAATAAACCCAGTTGCTGTGGAGTTGACGCTGATTCATGGCACCCCCACGTGTGTCAGAGTGGAACTATGCTCCATAGGGTTTTCGGTAGCTGATTTTTTGGAAGTAGATTGCCAGGCCTTTCTTCTGATGTGCCTCTGGGTGGACTTGAACCTCCGTCCTTGAGGTTAGCAGCTGTCTTAGTCATCTAGTGCTGCTATAGCAGAAATACCACAAGTGGATGGCTTTAACAAAGAGAAATTTATTCTCTTACAGTCTAGTAGGCTACAAGTCCAAATTCAGGGCATCAGCTCCAGGGAAAGGCCTTCTCTCTCTGTCAGCTCCAGAGGAAGGTCCTTGTCATCAGTCTTCCCTTGGTCTGGGAGCATCTCAGCACAGGAACCTCAGGTCCAAAGGACGCGCTTTGCTCGCGGTGCTGCTTTCTTGGTGGTACGAGATTGGGTTAAGACACTATCTAATCTTGTAGACCTCATCAGTATAATGGCCGCTAATCCAGCTTATTGCATCATAGTGATAGGATTTATAACACATAAGGAAATCACATCAGATTACAAAATGGTACACAATCATACACTACTCGGAATCATGACCCACCCAGCCGGGTTGACATATATTTTTGGGAGGACATAATTCAGTTCATGACATTCCACCCTTTGGCCCCCCAAAATTCATGTCCTTGCAACATATTCATCTCATATCATAGCAAAAGTCTTAACTCCAAGTCCAAAATCCACAAAATTCCTCTTCATCTGTGAAATCTAGAATACAAGTTATCTGCTTCCAAAGTACAACGGCAGAACAGGCCCAAGCTAGACATTTCCATTACAAATGGGAGAAATTGCAGGGAAAGAAGGCATAACAGGCTCCAAGCAAGTTGGCAGAACACATTGCATTAGCCCTCAAGTCTTTGCAAACAATCTTCTGCTCTCTGAGACAATTTACACAGTGACGCTAGGTATTGGCCACACTCTTCGAATTCAGAGTGGAGGCCCCTCAGCCCTGGGCTTCAGCTCTGCCTTCCAGGCCCAATGGGACGGCAACTCTGCTCCCTTGGCTTTAAGGTACACCATTCCTCTAGTCCATCGGAGTGGCATCTCCACCCTTAGACACCCCAGACGCCGTGCTTCCACCCTTTGAAACCCCAGAGGTCCTGGCCATATCTTTTGAGACTGAGGCGGCTCAGCTTCCTGTGTCCCTTGTCTCTTCAGCTTCTGCTTCCTGTGGCCTCTGGGCTCTCGGGCTTCACACCCACATCTGCCCTGCTGGGGCAAGTGTTGCAAAGCTTGGTAGCTCCACTGATAAGTGCCCGGAGGCACCCCACTCCACCAGGAAGCCTCCTGCGCACAGGCACTCAGCTCTCTCGCTCCGTGGGTCGGCCCCAGTGCCGTCTCATGCTGGTCTCCTGGTGCTGCTGCTGTTGGTCCTCTGCCGCTGCCATTCACAGTTTGAAAACTGCTTCCACATTGTAGGTATCTATTAGAGCCGCACCCCACTCCCAGTACCAAATTCTGTGTTAGTCATCTAGTGCTGTGATAACAGAAATACCACGAGTGGATGGCTTTAACAAAGAGTAATTTATTCTCTCACAGTCTAGTAGGCTACAAGTCCAAATTCAGGGCATCAGCTCCAGGGAAAGGCCTTCTCTCTTTGCAGCTCTGGAGGAAGGTCCTTCCTTGTCATCAGTCTTCCCTTGGTCTGGGAGCATCTCAGCGCAGGAACTTCAGGTCCAAAGGACGTGCTCTGCTCCCGTCACTGCTTTCTTTGTGGTATGAGGTTCCCATGTCTCTCTGCTTGCTTCTGTCTTTTATACCTCAGAAGAGATTGGCTTAAGACACTATCTAATCTTGTAGATCGCATCAATATAACTGCCACTAATCCATCTTATTACATCGTAGTAATAGGATTTACAACACATAAGGAAATCACATCAGATTACAAAATGGTACACAATCATACACTACTGGGAATCATGACCCAGCTAGGTTGACAGATACTTTGTGGGGGACATAATTCAATCCATGACAGCAGCCAAGGGCATTCACCCTGTGCACCCCCCAGGGACTCGGGTTGCACCGTGGGCTGTCTGAATCGCAGTGTTCAGGCTGCTGGAGATGGGCTCCTGCCTAGAAGTGGAGGGGGGTCCCAGGCCCACAGTGAGTGTGCACTCTGGGCTTTGCTCAGCAGTGCATGTGGGGGGTCTTTTCTGTTCAGGGGGCAGAAGCCACTCTCACAGGCTGAAAGCACTTGGGATTTGCTGGCCCCGGTGACTGGCTTTTTCTTCTCAGTATGAGCTCCGTTCTCACCAGGCTCCCCCATGATCCCTCTCCCCAATGATGGCTGCTGTTAGCGTCCTGGAATGCACACCTCGACATTCATACCCAGTGAGAAGGAGAGCCTGAGTTCCACAAGTCACAGCAGAACTCTGGGGTTCACTCTGAGTGGACCAGCGTGGGTCCTGTGTCCTCCCTCAGAGCTGAGGAATGCCGTGTGTTGATCGGCTCAGGACATAGGCCCTTCCTGAGCTGACCCCGAGGTGGGGTTTGGGGGGCACAGATGGGCTGAAGCTCTGAAACTGGGGGTGGAGTTAACCTGTGGTGCTAAGAACAGGAGCCAGGTGGTCACCCAGATGAAGATCAGGGTCCCTTACAAAGTGAAAGCTGCCCCACAGACACCCTCACAAGGGTTGACTCAGGGGCCTTAGCCAAAATGGATGTGGAAAAATTCCCTGATGTCCCAGGTGGCTGACTTGTTGCCTTTGACCACAGATCTGCCGATGAAGGAAAGCCTGTACGAGGATGTCGAGTTGCGTGGCCGCTGCCCAGAGAAAAAGCGCGTCTCGAACTTTCCTAGTTCCCCCGCCTCTCCCATCCCCGACACACCCCTCAAGGTGAGCCCATGGGAAGCGGAGGCGGGAGGGCCCTGTCATGGCGCACGCAGCCTGGAGTTCTGGGTACCTTGGAAGTCCAGGCCACCTCACGGCTGAGCACTGACGCTTCACCTCGGCCGCCCGAGGTCTGCTGGAACCCCACTGCTCAACACTTCCTAACAGACCTCCTGGGTCAGAAACCTCCCCAACCTGGCTAAAAACTGTGGTACACCCATGCTGTTAGAAGGACAATCTCTAAGGGACAAGACCGGAAGGCATGGCGTAGAGCAGTGTACGTGGCCATTGGTGGGGCTTTATGTGAGAGTACGTGTACAGTCTCATCCGTGTCTGTGTGTGTACAAGCCTGTCTCTGTAAGAATCCCTGAGAATGTGTGAGCAAGTGTCTCCCTTCTGAGGAGGGGAACTGAGCAACAAGGCCAGGGGAGAGGCTGACCCTGTACAGAGTGTCCTTTGGAACCTCCTGGAGATGTACCATGCGCTTGTACGTACGACAACTGCATTCATGTCCGTGGTGATGTACTGACCCATTGCCTGCAGTACTGAGTCCATAGGCCTGCCATTAAAGGTCCATTACGACTGGTCCCTGGCTCCCCATTACTACTGATCTCCCTCAGTTCCTGCAGACAAAAGCCCCCCTCCAGGTGAACCTGCTAACTGCCCCTCCACTATTACAGGCCCGCAGTCTGCAAGTCCTTTTTTTTTTAATCCCCCTTTATTGTTGTAGTTTAAGTGAAAGTTTACATTTCAAGTTAGTCTCGCATACAAAAATTGATACACACATTGTTACGTGACCCTGATTGCTCTCCCCATACTGTGACAGCACACTCCTCCTTTCCACCTCGGAAATCCCATGTCCGTTCAACCAGCTCCTGACCCTCTCTGCCTTCTCATCTCACCTCCGGACAGGTGCTGCCCAGTTAGTCTCATGTATCTACTTGAGCTAAGAGGCACACTCCTCACGAGTATCACTTTATGTCCCACAGTCCAGTCCAATCTTTGTCTGAAGAGTTAGCCTTGGAAATTTTTTAGTTCTGTGCAAGCCCTTTCTGTAAAGGGCCAGAGAGTAAACGTTTCAAACTTGGTGGCTCGTACAAGCTCTGCACTGCCATCTACTCCACCCTGCCATGGTAGTGGGGAGCAGCCACAATGTGTAAACAAATGAGCATGGCTGTGTTTCAATAAAACTTTATTGATGGGCACTGAAATTTTGCATTTTATATCATTTTAATTGTGCCCCAAAATATTATTTATTGTCAACCATTGAAAAATGTGAAAACCGTTCTTAGCTCACAAGCTGTAGAATCAGGTGGCAGACAGGCTGTGATTTGCCGGCACTGTGCTAAGTCATTTCGGCCTCTGCCCTCGGCTCTTGCTGGACCACTGTCTCAAACATGCCTCCCTCTGGAAGCTTCCCAGACCGCCCCAGCCCCAGGACTTCTTCCTCTCTGATTCCCGGTGACACTCAGTGGGCTAAAGCATTCACTTCACACCAAATTGTATACTGCTATGACATCGCTGACACTGATGATTTGAACTGATGTAAGTCACGTAGTGTATCTTAAAAGGAGCCCTGGTGGCGCAGTGGTTAAGCACTTGGCTGCTAACCAAAAGGTCAGCAGTCTGAACGCACCATTTGTTCCGCAGGAGAAAGATGTGGCAGTTTGCTTCCGTAGGGATTCCCAAAAACCAAACTTGCCGTCGAGTCAATTCCAACTCCTAGTGACCCTACAGGATAGGATAGAACTGCCCCATGGGCTTGAACTGCCCCGTAGGGTTTCCAAGCCTGAAGATGACAGCCTGGAAACCCTACGGGGCAGTTCTGCTCTGTCCTAGAGGGTCCCTGTGAGTCAGACTCAACTCAACGGTAATGGGTTTTTGGTTTTAACGTATCTTAAAGAACAAACATCTCCCCACATAGATTGTGAGCTCGTCAAGGTTCTGTTTCTTTGTGTTTCTCTGTGTCTCCCATTGGCCTGGCAGCAGTAGTGATTGTACAATATCTAGTCGGTGGAGAAATTCAATAAATGAAGCCAAACCCAGCCTGCGCGTGGCGGTTGAAGCCCCACTGCAGGGATATGTCTGCAGTAGGGAAAGACGCCAGCTTCCTCTCATGGCTGCATGGGGTCAGCATTTCCTGGCAGGGGGTGGTGGTGGTGTCTTCACATCAAGGGTGGCTTTTCTGCTGGTTCTTCCCAAGCAGCCCTGCTCCAGTCTTCCTGGAGCCATCGTGGGCCTCGCCTGCCCCTGAGGGTGTGTCTTACAGACCCAAACCACTATTGCAAGGCTTGCCAAGCCCAGTGAACTCCGTTTTCCTTCTCGCATGGGAAGTGTCCTCAGGAACAACCCAGGACAACTGATTATTAGCAAATAGTTTCTGTTTGCCTTTGAAGCTGTTTATGTTTTCCTTGGCGTATGGGTGTCTTCACCATTTACGAAATCCTTCATGTCCCCTAGTCCCTGGGTGGTACAAACAATTGACACACTTGGCTGCTAACTGAAAGGTTGGAAGTTCACCCAGAGGGGCCTAGGAAGAAAGTTCTGGCGAGCCACTTCCAAAAAAATCAGCCACCGAAAACCCTGCGGAGCACAGTTTTACCCTGATACACATGGGGTCGCCATGAGTCTAAGTTGACTCGACAATAACAGATTTTTTTTGGACCTACCACAGTGAACCCACCCTGTGAAAGGCTGACTTAGGAGGAGACGGAGAGTCCCCCACGCAGCCTGCCCCCCTCTGTGTCCTACGTGGCCACCCCTTCACAGGAGGGACCCGCCTCACCCCTGAGGAACTATGAGAACCAGCCACCCACCGCCGCTCCACATTCAGAGCGGGGCACTCCCCCAAGTACCAGAAAATACACCCTTATGAGCCCACTCCCACGGGGTCAGAGCAAACCGAGGGCCTCTGTCACTAAGACAGGTAGGTGCAGTGGGTGTCAGTCAGCAAGCACTGGAATGAGATGCCGCCGCCCTAGAGAAAGGCTAAGCACTGTTCGGTGACGTGCCGGCCGTGTCTGATGGCCACCGACATGTGTGGGCTGCCTTGGGCCCTGTGGCCACCACCGGGTCCCTGTCCATACCACGAGTCTGCTCTCCACAGCCGGGGGTCCGGTTGGTGCTGCCCGAGGATGGCTGCAGACTTCCTTCACTAGACTCATTGAATATTCACTGGGCATCGGCCACATCTGGGCCACATCTGGGGCGTTGGAACTTGCAGCAACTGTCCCTCTGTGTCTGCCTCCTCTCTGGAGCCGCCACAAGCCACAGAAAGGTCTTCTCGGACATCTTTTGGGATTTCCATTTAATTAGCCCCTGCCTGGTCCCAGGAGAAGCGAAGATCTGTTGACCAGATTTTCCCAAGGGGCGATGGGAAACCAGAAAACCACACGTTTGCTGTCACGTCAGTTCCAACTCACAGCAGCCCAGTGTGTGTCAGAGTGGAGCTGTGCTCTGTGAGGTTTTCGATGGCTGAGTTTTCGGAAGTAGATTGCCAGGCCTTTCTTTCAAGGCATCGCTGGGTAGATTCGACCATTAACGTTTTGGTTAACACATTTGGCTGCTAACTGAAAAGTTGGAGGTTTGAGTCCACCCAGAGGCACCTTGGAAGAAAGGTCCGGCAATCTACTTCCAAAAAACCAGCCAGTGAAAACCCCATAGAGCACGGTTCTGTTCCGACACATGGGGTCGCCATGAGTTGGAGTTGACTCGAGTACTACTAACTGGTATTAGGAAAATGAATTATTTTCTGTGTTACAAGTTGTAATTTTTTTTTTAACCTGTTTTTTACTTGCCTTTTGACTTTAAACAGGCTCCTTTTAGAAATGAGACACCGAGACCCAGAGAGGGGCGTGCCCGTTTGGGGGCACACAGCCAGCAGGGCAGGCTCAGTCCTGCGTGGGCCCTGTGACTCCCGGCACAGCAGGCCTGGGGTTACCACAAGGCCTCATCTCTACAGGCAGGGTTCAAGGCAGGTCATTCCCACCTGTCTAAAAAGAGAGACTGGGCTAGATTCACATCCTTTGTCACACGAATTTTCTGCAATAGAATGATAAGTGTCTACTGAGCAATGATTAGCATGGATGGACCGATGCACCATGACCTCAGGGTCCCCATCACCGGTGCCACACAGTGTCCCCTCTGCACTGACGCTTCGTTTCTTCTTCCCCCATGGCAGTCCTTGACCAAGCCTGTGTTTTTCCGGCACAATTCCGAGAGGTGGAACTTCAAGCTATTGGACACACGGAAGCCGAATCGGGACGGGACCGGGTCCCCTTCCCGGGTCAGCCCCCCGTCCACTCCCAGCAGCCCCGATGACACCTTCTTCAACCTTGGAGACCCGCAGAATGGCCGGAAGAAGAGAAAGATACCTAAGGTAACTCTCGTGACAAGCTCCGGCTCTTGTTCACATTCAGATGTGCGCTCCTCCTCCTGCCTGCAGAGAGGGCTGCTAAGGAGCTGGCCAGAGGGTGGATCACCAGCTCCTGCCCGCCTGGCTGCAGGCCCACTGGACGCTGAGCAGCAGACCTGCACTGTCGGGGCCTTGTCCTGTTAATTATGGTGCCCTCTCAGCTGTCCATCTCCCAGCCTTAAGTGGTAAACTAGATGGAACATAAAATTTGCCATTTTACCCATTTGTAAGTGTATAATTCAGTAGCATTAATTACATCCACCGTGTTGGGCAGCCATCACCATCGTCCATCTCCAGAACTTGTTCATCACCTCAAAGACTCGGTACCCTTAAGCAGTGACTTCCCTTGGCCCCTGATCATCTCCAGTCTACTTTCTGTCTTTATCTATTTGCCTGTTCTAAGTACTTCATTTCCGTGAGATCATACCATATTTGCCTTTTTGTGTCCGACTTCCTTCACTCAGTGTAATGTTTTCAAGCTTCATCCATGTCGTAGCTTGTAGCCGAACTTCGTTTCTCTTCGTAACTGAATGATATCCCACTGGATGGATGGACCACGTTGTGTGGATCCATTCATCTGTTGATGGCCACTTGGGCTGTTTCTACCTTTTGGCTATTGTGACCGGTGCCGCTGTGAACATGAGTGTACGCCTATCTTTTTACGTCCCTGCTTTCACGTCTTTTGGGTATATACCTAGGAGTGGAATTGCGGGGTCCTATGGTGGGTCTACGTGTAACTTTCTGACGAACCATCAAACTGACTGCACACCTTTTTGGTCAGATGCAAGAGAAAGGTTTTCCTTTGAGGCAGGCCTGCTGTCCCGGTGCAGGAGATGGTGAAGGCTGAGGAGGAAGTGGGGGCAGGCTGTGGTGTGGGGGAGGCGCCGTCTGTGATGGGCTACGCCCCAGAGTGTCTGCGTGTGCTCTTCGGGTGCCCCTTGCGGACAAGCGTGACCCCTGCCTCCCCTGGAGCTGTGAGGACATTCTCTGGCCTGGTTCCCACCAGAGGGGCCCTGCCTGGGAACGTTTTCCTCCCGCTGTCTTTTCCTGTCCTGGTTCTGTTTTGGGACAGCAGCTCCCTCCCCAACCCCAGATCTGGGGAGCAGCCTCTGCAGCTGCCATGCGCAGTAGGGCTGGTAAGTCCTTCAGCTGTTGGTGACCGGCAGGCCCTGTCTGGCGGAAAAGAATGACTTGAAGATGCCCATGGGAAGCATCTCCCCAGCCCTCCGCCCTCCTGGACGGAATGGGCAGCTCAGAAATCCCAGCGGCACATGGAGGGGGCTGCTAACCGGCTTCTCTTCTGTGTATGCAGCTGGTGCTTCGGATCAACGCCATCTACGAGGCCCGGAGAGGGAAGAAGCGGGTGAAGAGGCTGTCCCAATCAGCCGAGAGCAGCTCAGGGAAAGGTGGGCCTCCCTGCCACCACCCCTGCTGTCCCCAGAAGTCACATCCTGGTGTTCCTGCCACCAGCTCCCCACTCCCAGGAGGGGACACATGGTGCTTGTAAATGTGTCTGTTTTCAGCCGTGCTGTCCTGGGGGCCGGGGGGAGCTGGGCAGGTGCTCCACCTGGGCTGGCGAGTCTCAGGCCCTCCCTGGCCAGCCACCCAGCCTGCATGCCCTGACCTGACCCAACCCGGGCGGTCTCCTCCCCGTTAGCAGGCATGGAATGGGCCAACACCTTTCAGTGTATCATTTAACATAAATATCGCCTTAACTGGAGCCGAGTTAACTTGGCAGTGCACTTCGCTGGGCAGAGACCTAGTTCGCCTACATTACATTCAGAGAGAAAGGAAACACTCTCTGAACTGGAGGCCCTGGAGCTGCACAGCCACGGTAGGGCTTGCTGTGTGAAAGACCTCATTCGCAACTTTCCTCCTTGTCTCTTGGTCCAGTGACAGATGAGAACAGTGAGTCTGACAGTGACACCGAGGAGAAGCTGGAAGGTAAGGAGAGCCCTTGCATGCAAGGTGCCTGCGGGTGACTCGGCCACTGCCCGGACCGCCTTTCCAGGGCCTTACCTGAGTGGGGTGGTCCAGGCACGCATCTCCGAGGGGCGGCAGGGCCCCAGGAGCTTAGGGCAGCCCCTCCCGAGCATAGCAGGGCGAGGCCGCACTGTCCCTGAGCCCACACCCCTCTGCAGAGAGCCAGGGTGGTGGCACCTGCTGTGCCTGCCCCACCCCCCGACGCGTCCCTCGTAGGTAAGGTGCCGTGACATTGGTCCAGCAGGCCCGAGACCGTGGCCTGGCCCCATACCTGTCACAGGGCTCTGGGATCTGCAGGGACTCGCTGAAGGGCACAGGGCCTCTGGGTTCTTGTTGGTCAGTTGAAGTCGTTGTGAAGCAGGTCCCTGTGGCTCTAAAACCCCCTGACCTGGTCTAGGTTTCAGTGAGCTGGCCACTGTTCCCAGACCCCAGAAAAGCCAAGGAGCCATGTCCAGGGCTGCTGGAGGGGGTGGGGGGCTGTCACTCGGTGGCCCTGTCTCGTCCATCTTGCACATGGAGCAAGTGCATTCCAGTGCACAGTCGCTGGGGGAGGTGTGTGGTGGGTGGGCGCTGCTAGTCAAGGCACACGGATACTCACCGTGCTCCCCACTCCGGAAGCTCTGGGGTCTGATTCCGTCCCATGGCACTGAAAGACAGGGAGGGCAGGAGGCAGGGTCAGTGTCCCTCCTCACCCAACAGATGAAGGCAAGCCTTTGAGAGCCAAGGCCCAAGGTCTAGGTGGCAAAGCCACGCAGAGCAGCACCCTGGGATCCACGCTCTACGCCCTGCAGAGCAGCACCCCAGCTCCACGCCCCATACCCTGCAGAGCACCCCAGCTTAGCACCCCATGCTCTGCAAAGCAGCACCCTGGCTCCATGCCCCACAGCCTGCAGAGCAGCACCCCCACTCAGCGCCCTGTGACCTGCAGAGCAGCACCCCGGCTCCACACCCTATGCCCGGCAGAGCACCCCAGCTCAGCGCCCCACACCCTGCAGAGCAGCGCCCCCACTCAGCACCCCGCGCCCTGCAGAGCCTGAGCCTGGCATGCTGCTGCTCCCAGAGCTTTAGAAGGGACCCCAAAGAAAGAGTTTGATGCTCATTGTTAGCGTGGAAACACTTTTCTCAGCCCTGCCGTTCCCGACGGGCAGGGAGTCATCCTCTGGCTCACTCTCCCGCAGCTCACAGCCAGCGCCTGGTCCACGTGCAGGCCCGCCTGAAGCAGGCCCCTCGGTACCTGCCCCTGGACCGGGACCTGCTGGAGCACCAGGAGAGGCAGCTCTTCGAGTACTTTGTGGTCGTTTCACTGCACAAGAAGCAGGCGGGGGCCACCTATGTGCCGGAACTCACTCAGCAGTTCCCTCCGAAGGTACGGGCACCGCACCATGGGGGACCCAGCCTCCAGCTACACCTGGTGGCTCACAGGCTGAGGGAGGCCTGGGAGCTGAGGACACATAGCGTCACTAGAACCTTGAAAATGGGTCCTAAAACTATGGTTTTAGGGGAAAAGTTGGGAGAAAAAAACAGGCCGTATTAGAGAAAAGTTCCCTATGCCTTCCGCGTCGCTGTCCAGTCGATTCTGACTCATAGCGACCCCATGTGACAGAGTAGAACGTCCCCATAGGGTGTTCTAGGCTGTAGTCTTTACGGGAGCAGATCGCCAGGCCTTTCTCCATGGAGCAGTTGGGTGGGTTCAAACCACCAACGTTTAAGTTAGCAGCTGAGCACTTAACCATTATGCCACCAGGTCTCCTTGGAGCCTAACTAGGGTATATTAGATGAAAAACACTGCTGCTGGAGAATTTGGGGCGAGAGTGTCAAGGACTCAAAGTGGGGAGCCCCTTGCTGACCCCGCACCCTCTGCGTCTCTCCCCGGCTGCACATCCAGCCACGTCTCCTCACAGCCATCCTGGGAAGCCCTCCCCTGCCCCGTCGGCACACCACTCTCCCTCGGTGGGCTCACCTCTGCATCTGTGTTACACATGTATGTGCACACGGTGTGTCTCCATGTATGTGTGCAGGAGAACCCTGATCTGTCCCACCACGGCTCACGGTTACGGGGACCTGGCTTTGCCCTGTGTCAGCTCATGGAGCCTAAAATAAAATGGCCCACAGTACAGCCTCGGGTGGCATGGCCGGGGATGACAGATGATCCTTCATCTCTGACTTGAGCGCTCAAGAGTTCCTGCCACATTCTAACTCCGCTCAGCCAGAGTTAACTGAGACCCTGTAACCTGCGGGCGGCTTCCTGCTTGGTTGGCCCCAGGGCGTCACAAAGATGAACAAAACATATTCCTGCAGGCTATGACGTGTCGGGGACTGTGCTGGGTACTGGATGTCAGAGACAGATGATGGTTTGTATTGCTGGCTCTGTCACTAGTTATGTGATCGGTGACAGATCACTTGGCATGTCAGGGCTAGTTCCCTGAGCTCTGAAACAAGGCTGTCCGACCGTGACGCCTGGGGCCGCTCCTCGTTCTGACACTCAGCAGCTCTGACAGTAGCTGGGTTTCGCTGCGTGCTCACTGGGATGTGCTGCTGTACAGTCTCTGCCTGGGACGCAGGTTGGGGGGACCCAATGAGGCGCTGCCTTCCAGACTCATGAGCCTCCAATTTGGAAGAGATTGCTGTGCCCGCTTTTCCATGTTGATTGAAATAGTTGCATTCCAGATTGTTAGGCATAGGGAAAGGAGACCTGGTGGTGCAGTGGTTAGACACTCAGCTGCTGACTGAAAGGTCGGTGGTTCAAACCCACCAGCTGCTCTGTGGGAGAAAGGTGGGGCAGTCTGCTTGTATAAAGATTACAGCCTTGGAAACCCTGTGGGACAGTTATATGCTGACCCATAGGGTCACTATCAGTCAGAATCGACTCTGTGGCAACACGGAAGGCATAGGGAACTTTTCTCTAAAGCAGCCTGTTTTTTTTCTCGCAACTTCTCCCCTAAAACCATAGTTGGAACTTCATGGGGAGGGGGAAGGGCTCTAGTGGACTAAGTTGCAAACCCCTCCCAAGGGAGGCACTAAGGGGGCAGTCTCCCATGCTGGGCTTATTCTCCATCCTTCTCACACCTTCTCCCTACAGCTGGAGAAGTCATTCAAGTTCATGCGGGAGGCTGAGGACCAGCTGAAGGCCATCCCTCAGTTCTGTTTCCCTGATGCCAAGGACTGGGCTCCGGTCCAGCAGTTCACCAGGTACGCAGCGGCCTCGGCCCCCCTACCCCAGAGACGATAGTCGGGGGGCTGGCCTCTCCCTCCCTGCCCCAAAGACAGAGACGACAATGGGGGAGCTAGCTCCTCCCTCCCCACCCCAAAGACAGACACAGGAATTGGGGAGCTGGTGTCTCCCACCCCAAAGACGGAGACAAGAGTGGGGGAGCCGGTGTCCCGCACCCCAAAGATAGGGACAAGAATGGAGGGGGCTGGTCTCTCCCTCCCCGCCCCAAAGATGGGGACGAGAATGATGGGGCATAGGTGGCAGCCCACCAGTCATCCCTGCCCCACAGCACCCCTGCTGGGCCTGGCTGGAGGGAACGGGGGCAGGGGTCCCCCACCGATGTTCTTAAACCTCCCCTGAAGCTCAGAGCCGCCTTGCTCAGTCTGCTGCAGTACCAGCCCTCTGCTCACCAGGAATGTGTTTCTTCCTAGGCGCCGTGAAGGGCAGTTGTGGGGTTATTCTCAGTCTGGGGAGGGTTAGGGAGCCTTGCTGTCACCCAGACTTCCCCGGTGCCCCTGAGCACGTCCTTCATCAGCCCACCCAGCTGGGACTCAGCGTTTGATGAGTCCCCATTTCTGCATTAGCCATGTTGTCAGGGGCAGCGTTTCATCTCCAGATGGTTCAGCATCTGACCAAACCCAGTTGGCTGCGCAACCCAAGTGTGGGAGGGACGCCACGTCCCTGGAAGTTGGCCCAGCGGTCTTTACGGGCAGTCCAAGCTCTGGGTCACTCAGTAGAGCCCGTGCCGGGGGTGGGGTGGGGCGCACAGGGCAGTCCCAAGAGGGCCCCAGAGCTGTCCCATCGTCACCTGCTCCCTCCCAGCCACACCCTTGCTCAGCAAAGCCACCTCCCCCTTAGCCCACCGAGGCAGCACCACAGACCCTCCCTCTTCAGCACAATGGAAGCTGAGTCAGGGACCAGCCCAGGTATTGGAGTTCTCTGAGAGCTTCAGAACTGCTCGGGGTGAAAAAGCATCCCTCACTTCCTCTGAGGACGGGTGACATTTTACATCTCCCCGTCCCGATGTACACTCCAGAGCCATAGGTGACAAGTCCCAGCACAGGGTGGACAAGCAGGACCAGGAGCGGCCTTTTCGGTGGCGGCACCTCCAGATGCCCCTGGTTCCCATGACGCCCAGTGCATGATGGCACCATGGCTGTGCTTGGCTCTGCTTCGTAATGCTCTTCTTCTCCAACCACAGCGAGACGTTCTCATTTGTCCTGACTGGAGAAGACGGGAGCAGAAGGTTTGGGTACTGCCGAAGGCTGCTGGTGAGCGCGCCTCGTTTTTCAGCCGTCAGGAGCAACCTGGAGAACCAGGCCTGGCTTCCGAGTCACCAGAGTCTGAGATTTCTCCACGGTGGGCAAGAGAGACGCAGGAGGGTGGCAGGCTAATCAGGTGGTTAAAAACACAGGAAGAGATTTTGGAACTCACCTGAGTCTTATTAGGAGCCCTGGTGGCGCAGTGGTTAAAGCAATTGCCTGCTAACCAAAAGGTCAGCAGTTTGAAACCACCAGTGGCTCCATGGGAGAAAGATGTGGCAGTCCGCCTCCGTGGAGATTTACAGCCTTGGAAACCCTGTGGGGTCGCTATGAGTCACAGTCGACTCGACGGCAGTGGGTTTTTTGGTTTTGAGTCTTATTAGTAGATGGGAATAGTGCCTGTCTCCTTCAGAGTCCCTGGGTGGTACAAATGGTTAATATGGGTGCTAACCGAAAGGTTAGGGGTTCGAGTCCACGCAGAGGCACCTCAGAAGAAAAGCCTGGTGATCTGCTTCTGGAAAATCAGCCACTGAAAACCCTATAGAGCACAGTTGTACTTTGACACTCATGGGGTCACTGTGAGTTGGAGTCGGAATCAACTCAACAGCAACTGGTTTGGGTTTTTTTCTCCTTTGGAAAGAAAATACTTCCTCTGTCATTACCCTCATCAAATAAAAGACTTTTTCTCCTTAACCCAAATGTCCTTTATAATAAAACATGCCAAATAGACCCCAAGAGCTTAACGAGGGCATTCATAATGTTTGCTTAGGGCAGAAGAAGGATGGTTTTATTGCTCATAATTCAGATAATTCCGGAGTTTATCCTTTAAAACAGTCACCTTTAAAAGCCAGACATTTACTCCAGTGAAATGATTATTTTAGAACCTTTTTTTGAGGCCTGATCTTTTGAAAATCTGCCACAGTGGCAAATCTTTTTCCACTCAGTGTATTTGAGTCTTAGAAATAGGCTGATATATAATTTAAAGTACTGTGCATGGCATGTAGTAGGTGTTCAAGAAATATTTGTTGAATGAATGAATGAATTCAAAGTATGGCTATAGTTGAAACAATTAATTGGGATAATAATTTTTTTCCTTTTTTTATTTTTTTTTATCCTTGTTGTTTAAGCAAAGTTTACAATTCAAGTTAGTCTCTCATACAAAAATTTATACATGCATTGTTATGTGACCCTAATTGCTCTCCCTATACTGTGACAGCACACTCCTCCTTTACACCCCTGATTTCCCTGTCCATTCACCCAGCTTCTAACCCTCTCTGCCTTCCCATCTCACCTCCGGACAGAAGCTGCCCATTTAGTCTCATGTACCCACTTGAGCTAAGAAGCACACTTTTCACGAGTGTCATTTTATGTCCCACAGTCCAGTCCAATCTTTGTCTGAAGAGTTGGCCTCAGTAATTGTTTTAGTTCTGGGTTGACAGAGAGTCCGGGGATGATGCTTTCCAGGGTTCCTCCAGTCTCAGTCAGACCATTAATTTACTAGAATTTGAGTTCTGCATCCCACCTTTCCCCCGTTCCATCAGGGACTCTCTGTTGTGTTCCCTGTCAGGGAGGTCATTGGTGGTAGCCGGCCACCATCCAGTTCTTCTGGTCTCAGGCTGATGGATTCTCTGGTTTATGTGGCCCTTTCTGTCTCTTGGGCTAATACTTTCCTTGTCTCTTTGATGTTCTTCATTCTCCTTTAGTCAAGGTGGTTGGGACCAATTGATGCATCTTAGATGGCCACTTGCTAGCTTTTAAGACCCCAGATGCCACTTACCAATGTAGGATGCAGAACATTTTCTTAATAAGCTTTGTTATGCCAGGTGACCTAGATGTCACCTGAAACCATGGTCCCCAGACCCCCACCCCTGCTGCTCTGTCCCTCGAAGTGTTTGATTGTATTCAGGAAACTTCTTAGCTTTGGTTTAGTCCCGTTTTGCTGACTTCCCCTGTAGTGTGTGCTGTCCTTCCCTTCACCTAAGATAATTCTTGTCTACTATCTAATTAGTGAATAACCCTCACCCTCTCTCTCCACCCTCGTAACCATCAAAGAATGTTTTCTTCTGTGTTTAAATCTTTTCTTGAGTTCTTATAATAGTGATCTTATACAATACTTGTCCTCCTGTGACGGACTAAATTCACTCAGCATAATGTCCTCCAGATTCCTCCATGTTATGTTTCACAGCTTCATCGTTGTTCTTTATCGTTGCGTAGTATTCCACTGTGTGAATATACCATAATTTGTTTATCCATTTGTCCGTTGATGGGCACCTACGTTGTTTCCATCTTTTTGCTGTCATGAACAGTGCTGCAATGAACATGGGTGTGTATATATCTATTCATGTGACGGCTCTTATTTTTCTAGGATATATTCCAAGGAGCGGGATTGCTAGATTGTATGGTACTTCTATATCTAGCTTTTTAAGGAAGTGCCAAATCAATTTCCAAAGTAGTTGTACCATTTTACATTTCCACCAACAGTGTATAAGTGTTCCAGTCTCTCCACAACCTCTCCAGCATTTATTATTTTCTGTTTTTAGATTAATGCTAGCCTCGTTGGGGTAAGATGGTATCTCATTGTAGTTCTGATTTGCATTTGTCTAATGGCTAATGATGGTGAGCATTTCTTCATGTGTCTGTTAGCCACCTGAATGTCTTCTTTGGTGAAGTACCTGTTCATATCCTTTGCCCATTTTTTAATTGGGTTATTTGTCTTTTTGTTGTTGAGGTTTTGCAGTATCTTGTAGATTTTAGAGATTAGACACGGATCAGATTTGTCATAGCCAAAAATTTATTCCCAGTTTGTAGGTTATCTTTTGACTCTTTTGGTGAAGTCTTTTTGTGAGCATAAGTGTTTGATATTTATGAGCTCCCAGTTATCTAGTCTCTCTTCTGGTGCTTGTGCATTGTTACTTATGGTTCATATTGTGCTTATGCCATATATTAGGGCTCCTAGCATTGTCCCTATTTTTTCTTTCATGATCTTTATAGTTTTCGATTTTATATTTAGGTCTTTGATCCATTTTGAGTTAGTTTTTGTGCATGGTGTAAGGTATGGGTCATGTTTCAGTTTTTTGCAGATGGATATCCAGTTATGCCAGCACCATTTGTTGAAGAGACTGTCTTTTCCCCAATTAATGGACTTTGGGCCTTTGTCAAATATCAGCTGTTCACAGGTGGATGAATTTATGTCTGGATTCTCACTCCTGTTCCATTGGTCTATGTATCTGTTGTTGTACCAGTACCAAGCTGTTTTGACTACGATGGCGGTATAATAGGTTCTGAAATCAGGTAGTGTGAGGCCTCCCACCTTGTTCTTCTTCTTCAGTAGTGCTTTACTTATCTGGGCCCTCTTCCTTTTCCATATGAAATTGGTGATTTGTTTCTCCATCTAATTAAAAAATGGCAGTGGAATTTGGATCAGGACTGTATCGTATCTGTAAATTGCTTTGGGTACAATTGACATTTTCACATTGTTGAGTCTTCCTATCCATGAGCAAGGTATGTTTTTCCACTTATGCAGGTCTCTTTTGGTTTCTTCCAATAGTGTCTTGTAGTTTTCATTGTATAGGTCTTTTATGTCTCTGGTTAGATTTATTCCTAAACATTTTATCTTCTTGGGGGCTATTGTAAATGGCATTCGTTTGGTGATTTCCTCTTGGAAGTTCTCTTTGTTGGTGTAAAGGAATCCAACTGATTTTTGTATGTTTATCTTGTATCCTGATACTTTGCTGAAGTCTTCTATTAGTTCCAGTAGTTTTCTTGGGATTCTTTAGGGTTTTCTGTGTATAAGATCATATCATCTGCAAATAGAGATACTTTTACTCCTTCCTTACCAATTTGGATGCCTTTATTTCTTTTTCTAGCCTAATTGCTCTGGCTAAGACCTCCAGCACAACATTGAATAAGAGTGGTGATAAAGGGCATCCTTGTCTGGTTCCGGTTCTCAAGGGCAATGCTTTCAAACTCTCTCCATTTAGGATGATGTTGACTTTGTATAAATGCCCTTAATTATGTTGAGGAATTTCCCTTCTATTCCTATTTTATTGAGAGTTTTTATCATGAATGGGTGTTGGACTTTGTCAAATGCCTTTTCTGCATCGATTGATAAGATCATGTGGTTCTTGTCTTTTTTATTTATGTAATAGATTGCATTGTTTTTCTAATGTTGAACCGTCCCTGAATACCTGGTATAAATCAAGTGGGATAATAATTTTTGTTGATAAAAATTACTTTAGAGCCAAGATATGAAGATTGATTTTCTTTCTGATTTGAAAATTAGCTTAAAAGTCAGTGTCCAAAAAGGGTTTTCAGAAATGGTTTCTGATTTGGAATTATCATTATAATAAACATACAGTCTTGAGGTAACTCCCTGAGAGGAACTGCAGTGACGGGGTAAACAAGGTAAGCTTCATTACTTTCTGGTTCTGTTGGACATATTAAGCACCTACTGTGTGCACTGCGGAGCCCTGGTGGCACAGTGGTTAAAAGCAATGGCTGCTAACCAAAAGGTTGGCTGTTCAAATCTACCACCTGCTCCTTGGAAATTCTATGGGGCAGTTCTACTCTGTCCTGTAAGGTTGCTATGAGTCGGAATCAACTCAATGGTAGTAGGTTTTCTTTTGTTTTGGTGTGCACCATACCCTTGACTTGGGCCCTTTGGGAAAATGGAAATGAATAAATTGTACGACCAGAATTTCTTCCCACCTATAAAGTGAGGGCATTGGTACTTACTTACCTCGCTGGGTTTTCAAAAGCTAGAGTGTATGGAAACATCTGGCACATAGCTGCGTCTTAGTCTCCCAGTGCTGCTCTAACAGGAATACCACAAGGGAGGGGCTTTCACAAGCAGAAATTTATTTTCTCACAGTTTAGGAAGCTAGATGTCCAAATTCAGGGCACCAGCTCTAGGGGAAGGTGCTCTCTCTGTTGGCTCTGGGAGAGGATCCTTGTTCCTTGGTGATCTTCATGTGGCTTGGCATTTGTCTTCCCCCATCTCTGCTTTTTTGCTTAATCTGCTCTTTTATGTCTCAGGAGATTGATTTAAGACACACCCTACACTAATACTGCCTCATTAACATAATGAAGAAAACCCATTCCCAAATGGGATTATAACCACAGATGTAAACCAGACCGAAAAACCAAACCCATTTCCATCAAGTCAGTTCCAACTCATAATGACGCCATGTGGCCGAGTAGAACTGCCCCACAGGGTTTCCTAGGCTGTAATCTTTACCAGAGCAGATCACCAGGAACCGTCAGTGGGTTTGAACCACCAACTTTCAGTTAGTGACTGAGCACTTAACTATTGGGCCACCAGGGCTCCTGTAACCACAGGCATAAAGGTTAGGATTTCCAACACAGATTTTTGGGGGACACAATTCAATCCGTAACAGCAGGCATGCAGAAACGTCCAGTTCTATCCTTCCCTGGGGCTGGTAACACAGGATTTCCTTATGCTTCTCTCCCAAAAGCCTGGTGGCAAAGGGAAGCGCCTGCCTGAAGTCTACTGCATCGTGAGCCGTCTGAGCTGCTTCAGCCTCTTCTCCAAGGTGAGAACACAGCCTCCGAGACAGGAGGGAGGAGGGGAGGCAGGGCCTGGGAGGAGACAGGAGACCCCCAGCTCCTGGCCCTTTTATAAAAGAATCTTACTCTCTGCCTGTTTTCCTCCCCTGTTCTTCACTGCTGTCCTCACTGCCGCCTCTCCTTGCTTGTTGTTGGTCTGGGGATGAGAGCTGGTGGAGGCCAGGACAGAAGGTGGGGGCGAGGGTTGCGGGGGAGGGCAGAGGGTCCTCCCAGGGTGTAGGGGTGCTTTGCTTTCCTTCATCTGAGTCTTGTCTTTGTCAAAAAGGCCACTCTGATTTTGTTTATGTTTAGATGTGTGTGTATGTGAGGCGTATTAGTTCAGTAGTGCTCCAGAGCTATCACAGTTCTTATATAATTGGCTCTCCTTTCTGGAAATCAAGCAAATATATCAAGACTTAAGAGCTGCCGTATCAAATCAGCCCCTCCACCCCAGAGTTCTGGATTGGTGTGCAGCCGAGAATCACTATCCTATATGATGCTCATCTCAAAAATTGGATCTAATCCAACATTCCTTTCCCACCTTAGCCAGACTTCATGGGTGATCTAACACATACATTTATTGCAGGTCCTTCTTGGGGTTTTCTCTGTAGTCTGAGCTTTCTCTGTGAGGTCTCTGCTATCTGCTGGAGTAAGCAGCACTTTCGAGAAGCATTTCCTGTGCAGGGCGCACTCCTGCCGTGGCAGAGCTCGGGCTTCTGTACGCATCCAATGAGCGGGGAGCTTGGGCTTCTGTACGCATCCAGTGAGCGGGAATCCTATCATGCTCTTGGGCATACCTGGGTCCCGGCCCTCCCTCCGCTCCACCCGCACCTCACCTAGGAAGGTAGTCATTTCACGCAGAAGCTGGCCATTGACAAGCTCTGGCCCAGTTCTGTATGCTGCCCGTGCCAGTCGTCATGCGGGCTTGTTTAAAAGCAAAGGTGAGGCTGCAGGTCCCAGCCCTTGTTGTTGAGGAATGGGAAGTGAGAGCTCCTTTGAGGGCCGGCACCAAGAGGGGCTTTGGAACCCGCATCTGCTTCATTGCTCTGTCATGGGTATTGGACGCAGAGCAAGCAACCCTGCCGATGTCCTTGTGGCATGCACGGCCCAGTTTCTTCATGTCGGTTTTGTGACTGGACGCGTTTTAGCAGCGTGGTGCCGTGGCTTGCTAAAGACACGCAGCAACTATCCGGGCAGAACCGGAGCTTTAGCTCACTGATCCCAGGAGCCCAGGCTCTTTCCTGGTGTGGAGCAAGGCTGATGAGAACCGCAAAGTGTCCTTTGGAGCAGAAAGGAAGCCTGGATGAGAAGAGCAGCTCTCGGGATCACTGAAGAAAGGGTATCAGTTCACTGTTGCCACAGTGGTGCGGGGTAACCACCCACTCCAGAGCTCAGCGGCTCAGAGCGGCACTGGTCCATTCTCCCAGATGTGTGGGTCAGCGGGCTCTGGTCTGCTGCCCTCCGCCGGGCTCACGCGTGTGTCTGCAACTCAGATGGGCTGGGCTGATGGCGGCTGGCAGATCCCTGCGTTAGGCTCCAGGTCGGGTCTCAGTCTCCTCCATTGCCCCCATGCCCAGGGCCCGGGCCTGTTCTTCTCCTGGTGCGGGCAGAGGACAGCAGGGCCCTAGGGCAGGTCTCCTGGGGCCCAGGCCTGCTCTTCTCCTGGTGCGGGCAGAGGACAGCAGGGCCCTAGGGCAGGTCTCCCGGGGCCCAGGCCTGTTCTTCTCCTGGTGCGGGCAGAGGACAGCAGGGCCCTAGGGCAGGTCTCCCGGGGCCCAGGCCTGCTCTTCTCCTGGTGCGGGCAGAGGACAGCAGGGCCCTAGGGCAGGTCTCCCGGGGCCCA